CTTGAACTATATCACTTGTAAAGACTCCCTAAATTATAGACATATCCAAAACAAACTGCAGTACTCCTTCCTTCCCTATAGTATTTAATAAGTATGTTGTATCATAAATGCTTTTTACTATTTTGGTTACAGGTTTAATCAATTCGTTTGATGTACTTTAGTAATAGCTGAAAGTTTTGGTGTCACCTCTATTGTAAGGGGAGAAAGAACTATATATAGGTCAAAGCCTCCTCATATCTGATGCTGACATATTTAGCTTTAGAATTATGGATTTAGATGTCTTCCTGATTCCCCCCCCCCCTCCCCCTCTTTCAGTGCCCTACTTTTGGAGCTTCTCTTCTTTGTTTGTGCAGATTTTGTTTCTCTATGTCTTCCTGATTCCCCCCTATTTCAGTGGTTTACTTTTAGAGCTTCTCTTCTTTGTTTGTGCAGATTTTGTTTCTCTATGCCTACAAGGCGATCGCAGAAAATCCAAGAAGATTGACACGAGTGACCCAGGACCCGGAGGCTGTACCAATCATGTTTATAGCACTACAAATTTGGAATACGTCCAGTATTTATTATCTTGGTAATTCACTGCATATGAAGAAATGACAACCGTTCATGGGTATGCCCTCATCTATTTCAGGCCACATGATACGACATATGCCTTTAGAAACATTTGTTAAATATCCATTGGGATATCCAATTTGTTCTTTAATCCCAGAATTGGATATTTTTAACAGTTTTGTTATGGTCTTTTCCATTGCAGACCCATCCGAAGATGGTATCGATCTACAGCTTGGTTAAGGAGGCTGTAGAAACTTACATCTAGGTGTTTGTCCTGAACATATATGCATAGGAGGTGATGGTTACATTTAAGGTAGAGAGATTCTTAGAGCTATGCACTTGTTCACAAAAGCTGAGAAAAGTCAGGCGATATTCTCTATCTTGTCACAGCTGTGATGATTTTGCTTAGGAATTTTTTGTTAATTGACAGACATTTTTGTTAATTCGTAGGCACTTTTGTATGTCGTTCATTATGATAATTTTGCTTAGGAAGTTTGGAATGAAAGTTCTGGCACTTTCAATATTCACTGTATTCGTAATCGGAAAGTATTTAGTCTACACGTACTGTTCACGTTTATGGTGATACTATATTGTAAATATTAGTGCTTAGTTCATGTCCTTGATGAACTTTTTTGAATTTTTGCTCCTGGTGGTGGTCGAGCTCATCTGATGGTGGTTGTTGCCGCTCCTTCTCTCCACCTTGTCGTCGAGCTCATCTTCTATCCTAAGGTGTGTGTTGTCTTCCTCTCTGTTGTAGTTACTTCCACATTATTATATGATCTAAGGCACACATGATATATTGAACGTCATGAAGTCAGATTTATTTCCATTTCTTCAGTTTGTGACACAAAGTTCCGTCCAGTAACTGGAAAGTTATTTCTTGACCGTTGTTCTCTGGAGCTCATTATTTTAGACCTTTTCTCTTAGATTTTGACTAATGTGGCTGCTCTGGTGCTCCACTTTCTTATTTGCAGGTGATGATCTTTCTGCAAGTTGCTGCCTGGGTTTATAGGTTGGTGATTCTTCTATCCCTTGATCTTCTTCTGTGCATGTGTCATATGTGCTTACATCTATGTTGGGTGCGACTGTAGTCCCGTTCGTTTCTTTACAAGACACAGATGACAGAAATGCCGCAATGGGACCAGGTTGTTACCTTTTTCCATCTCTGTCCGCATGTATCCATACAATTGTTTGTTCGTCGTTTGCCCACTTATATGTGTATATATGCTTCTTTCTAACAATGGTCGTTTGGATGCATATGCCCATATTGCCATTTTTTGTGAAGTGTGCAGTATAACCACTGGTTATTCTTTGTAATATCCAAATGGTATAAGAGATTTTGTTAGTGCACCATTAGCATATTCTTTGTTACTGGATCACTTTAGAGTTTAGACCAAATATTGTTGACAAAATGTTACTTTGGTTTTTGTTCTAGAGCACTTTGCATAATGTCTGGACTAATAGGAGATTTGTAAAGAGTTCAAATTAGGATGAAGAGGTGTTCTTCCATGGTGGCCAAAGGCGAGGCGCTTCTACGGCCAGATCCATGGCCACCATGTTGCCATCGACGTCCACTGTCCTTGACAGATCGATCGAGCGTGCATCACTTAGCTGCATGGCTCCCCGTCTCCCAGTTATCAGAGAATGTCATGTAACCTTTAAAAATACATTCTCTAAGCATGTTGATTTTGCACATCTATATCTTAAAGTTTTACATACTTGCACGTACCAGTACTAAATATGCATGTATTTTGAGTGTGATGGAATAACACACCTTGGCACAAACAAGAAATTAGAAAGGGCACTTCCCGACCTGGCACCGCCCCAACTTTGTCTCAGACGGCGCCACCGGGTGGCGCCCCAACAACTAGTTGGATGAAGCCTGCACATCCTCCTCCTCAAGGCACTGCAAAAAAAAGCAGATAATTAAAACATGCCTCATAACACACCAGGGATCATGCATAGCACTCAAGAGATGATCCCTTAGTACCAGGGATCATGCATAGCATATTATCTGATCATGCACAGCACTATCTAGGTACTAAAGGCGATACCTTGATCACAAGGTGGCACAAAATTAAATCATAGGCCTATGCAAAAATGGTAAAAAAAAATCAAAGCCTCATATGAGAAGCACACACAGATCGGGGAGATTATTCTGTACTAACCAAAACAATTCAGAACAATCTTTTGAATGGCATCAGGTAGTACAAGATCGTCCCCCCGAAAGACATGGTGCTAAAGAATTGAATCATCGGCAAAATTCAGGGAGGGTGCGCAAACACAAGTAACCGAGAATTAAAAGATGCCTCGTAAACCCACAAATTGCGAGACGATAACGCAATAGTACCAAGGGAAGTGTTGGATAAATTTCATCCCACGATCCACAAGGTACTGTCGAATCATCGTTCACAGTAGTTGAAAGGGACTCAGTGTTACTGAACCAAGTTAGAGGCACACCAACTTTGTTGTTGCAACCGACTAGGTTCACCAACCCGAGCCCCTTAAACAACCATGTGGCTAGATTTAATCATCGTCCCAAGAGATTTAACACGAAATGCTGCCTCATAGAACAATGGAGACAGAACAAATGAAGAGATGATACCGTGGAACCAAGGGACACGATAAAATGATCGTTTATCTTGCACCTAGGTTCCACAGTGCCATCCCTTCATTTGTACCCTGCTTTTAAATCATCAGCAAAATTGCAAACATATCCTAAATTCGAAAACTTACTGCATGTGGAAAGACAACCTCAGATGGTGCATGCAAACTTACTGCATGTGGCAGTAGTCACGCATGATCTCCAGGGATGGTGTAAGCGAACCGTGTTGAATGAACACTAGTTGTGTTCAGACATCATGGTTCACAAATCCCACCCTGGATATACAACATGATACCAACTCATCATCGGCCTGCCACGAACAGTTCTGCTACTAAATCGCTAGTGTGAATCGTCCCTAAACTGTACTAAAATCGGAATATCTTGCAAATCTGGCTAATTGGTATAATATAAATAGAGATCTGAGGAATGTAGTGCCGGATCTGCTAACTATGAACCCCATATGAGAACGACGAACAAGACAAACAAAAGCACTAGCCGTACGAACAAGAAACCTAGCGCTTAAAATCCGCCCTAGCACTAACAAAGTACCGTGCATGTAAGAAATTAGACACGAAATGTGCCGATTCAAACAGATCTACCATAGCAGCAACGATTGTGGGATGATTGAGCACTTACCGCCATTGCTGCCGTTGAGGGAGCCCGGCGAAATGAGATGGCAGCATAGAATATGACGGCCAATCGCTGGTGGAGTACAAGAGGAGAGAGGCAACGAAGTACGAGATGGTGTAATCCGATCTAACGCCGCGGAGGAATCGCTGTCGGTGAGAGGAGAGAGGGAATGGCGTCTCTGGAAGGGGTGAGTGAGAGGTGGGAGAGGAGCGGTGAGGGGATTTATGGAGTGCACACTCGAGGCGTTGCGGCATCTCCCGCCCTTCCGCGTGCGTGCGGCGCGGACCGACTTTTGGCTTGCCAGGGCCTGGCCCTGCGAGAACACTGGGATCGAGCGTTCCTAGCAGCTTTAAAACTCGTGTGAAGCAAAGATTCCACAACAAACCAAACGGCCCAAATCCTTGCCGCTGGGTGCGAGAAAGGAGCATGCGAGCAACCAAACACACCCCTACTGTAGGATCAGCTACCAATTAAACTACCGATTAAACTACAGTGCACACAAAGATGATTGATAACTCGTTCGTCCGAGCCACAACAAAGCCTAGACTAACACCAGCAGCATCAACGAGGTGGTGCACGGCGCCGATAGTATGGTTTCCTCATTGCTTGGCAAGCTCAACATTCGTTCTCAACTTGGATCGGCATCGTGGGAACACATAATTAAATTAAAATACAAAAAGAAGGTAAGTATCCAGTCGGATCAATATGCCATCTCACATCTCGCACTTGATCCCTCATACCACTAGTAGTGGGAAATCAAAGAGTCAAGAAGTGGGAAATCAAAGTGTCAATGCTGACCACTACTCCCTCCGTTCCTAAATATTTGTCTTTCTAGAGATTTCAATTGACTACCACATACGGATGTATATAGACATATTTTAGAACGTAGATTCACTCATTTTGCTCCGTATATAGTCACTTGTTGAAATCTCTAGAAAGACAAATATTTAGAAATGGAGGGATTATATTAGTACGTACACTGTTTTCTGATTATTACCCCATCCAACAATGGCATGCATTGCACAAACTCAGCATTCGGTTGCAAAACATCGGGGAAACACACAACATAAATTAAGTTAAAATACAAGAAAAGGTAGGGAACAAAAAAATAGTCAACGCCGCCGATACTCCGGGGGTACATATGTTTACAGAGATCAATATGACATCATCTTACATTTGACTGATACCACCACTTTGATGCCGACAACTATGTTAACTATTTTCCTAATATTTCCCCATCCAACAAGGGTGTGTATACAAAAGACGTTTCTATCGATGGTACGGGTAACTTTCCCACGTCTTGAGCCTTGGAACTGTTCAAATGGTAAGCTACTACTCTTTTGCAATTTGTCCATAAGAAGAGAATATCCTTGTAAGGATGAAATCCTAGGGTACGAATATCATCATGAAAGTGATCTGTTGGAGCCTTAGCCTCAGCTTCAAGGGTAACGCCGCTGTCAGGATCCCATTCAAATTTCTGCTCCGCCATTGGTTCGTAGGCAGTGTTTTGCAAAGTCCAAAGTCCATTGTTTTGAAGGCCAAAGTGTTGATGTGTTATTCCCACGAGTGGTTGAATGCTCACGTCATTCTTGAGCACCCATTTTGTTTGACCGCGTACCTCATCATCATTAAGTAGCCAAATCCGTAGCCGTTCCTCCAAATTAAAGATTAGTGCACAGTAGACGCCGTTGATGGATTTCCCCAAGTAGAGAGATTCTAGATATGTCACTTGACGTCCTATTGGAGATGGAATCACTTGGTACTTATGGGTGGACAAGGTTATGCTGCACAAATGATATATTTTTCATCACATATAATACATATATAGCTAGTTAAATTGTCAACCTATAACGACGCACATGCCCTACAAACCGTGATGGAGGAAGGAGAGAAAAATGTCCTAGTAGTGGTAAAAAGGAGGGTTGAGCTCATATATATACCGTATAATGGAATCGTCTTGGGAATGCACATAAAGCACATCCCGCCAGTAGACGGCGTAGCGGTGCTTCCGAGGAGAGAAGTTGATGTCAGCTATGGTAGTCCGTGTAGCCGCTTCTCCTTCTTCTCGAACAAAAGACATCTCCTCCCACCTCCGTGTTGTCGAGGGGAACACGGTGAGCGTGTACGGTGATGGCGGCCATTCCGTTTCGTCGGTGAATTTGGCTAGCTCACCAGTTCTGCGAGACTCTAGGGATCGAAAACACATGGTAGTGCGGCGATACAGCGGGATCAAACACAAGGTATCTCGTGTCAAAGAAAGCTTCCATCCCCGCGCGTGGAGGCGGTGGCGGGGGCAAGGGCACGCACTGCCGGGTCGCCGGGTTAACCACCCAGTCCCTGAGCAAGAGCAGGCCGTTGCGGTGATCCAGCAATTCCAGATGGTGGTAGGCTGGGCGGGAGACGTCTTCTTCGAGGTAGTCGAACCTGTCGGCGATTTGGTGCTCCATGAGGGGGCGGGCGAAGAATCGCATGCTGCTCAGCATCACCTCCTCCACGAACAAGATCCCGTAGACCGAGAGCGGGAGGAGGTCCGCGCGCAGCAGGCTCCGGGCGTCCACGGCATGGCGCCACGCCTTGCAGACGCAGCGGGACGCCGCGAGGCTGCGCGCGTTGAGGCGGCGGAGGATGCAAGCGAGCAGGTCGTCGGGGAGCAGCTCCATGGTTGCCAGTTTCCTTGGCAAATTGGTGCATCCGAGAGAGGCCTTGTTGCTAGCCGATCAAACCCGAGAGTAGCGTCGGAAGCTGGGAATCGATCGATCGAGGTGTTTTGTTTATTTCACGGTGGGTGTAGTAGTTAGTACAAAAGGTACCCACATGTGTACTTAAACCCGGCTGTTGAACTGACCCAACACCCGCGCGCACCCAACACGGACACACGCGAAGGAAAGGTCTATGTGTACGGGAAAATATCAGGTACTCCCACCCCTTGGGTGCTCCCGGTGCACCGATTCCGAAATACATTTTTAAAATGTTCAAAAAATTCTCAAAAAAATTTAGCACAGTCACACAACATCGATGTATCTTTTCATAAATTTTCAAATCAAAATTTGAAACATTGCTCGAGATATAAAAATAACAAATTTGACATCAATGTCACAATGGGCCAAATCTAAAGCCCAACTTATGTTATGTACTATTTGCTATCGAATTCGTCATTTGTGTATCTTGAGCAATGTTTTGAATTTTGATTCAAAATTTTGTGACAAGATACATCTACGTTGTGTCAATATGCTAAGTTTTTTTTTCAGAATTGTTCGAATATTTAAATAATGTTTTTCGGCATCGGTGCACCGGGAGCACCCAAAAGGGTGGGAGTACCTGATATTCTCCCCTATGTGTACGTACGTCTCCATTGGAATTTAACTACATACTAAGAAAAATGCCCGTGCGTTGCACCGGGAGAAAAAACACTTCACATGCGTCTAATCCAATATTTATGGCTCAAGAACCTCTTCACACCAGCCCACGCTCTTTATGTATACGTGGCAATCCACCCATGTCGCCGCATATGCCCGTGTGTTGCAACGGGAGACAAAAAAAATTATGGCTAATGAAATAAGTATGACTCAATATCCCGATATATGAGCGTACTCTATTTTAACATAGTGGTTCACCATGTTGCCATTTTTTTTCTCACCCTAGGTGATGATGGTCGCGATGTTCACGTGATCACAATGCACTTGACGTGGTAAATCCCAAGGCTATAAGTTTGCCAGTGCATGTCACACTTGTCACTATGTTGCACAAAGGAACGTTTAAAACTTTAAAAACAAATCTCATTGACCACCAACTACTCCCAACGCCAAGACATATAAAGACTTTCGGAAAACTAATCAAATCCTAGACATAAAATACTTTTGAATCAGTGAACAGTTTTTCGAATCGACAAACATTTTTTTGTTTGAAAATTTTGTTTTTCTCAAAAAAATCATGAACATTAGTCTTGTTTGCAACTTTTTTGAATGTACGAACCGGTTTCATATTCACTAACATTTTTTTGACTCAACAAACATTTTTTGAATCTATGAACTTTTTTAAATTGGGGAACAAAACTAAAAAAAATATATTTATTATTATTATTGTGAACATTTTCTAAAACTTTATGGACATTTTTTTTCAGATTCCCGAATATGTTTTGAATACATGATCATTTTGTCAAAATCATGAACATGATTTTATTTCCCAACCAATTTTTTACAAATTGTGATTTTTTTATAATTTTGCAACAGTTTTGCAAAACCACCAACATTTTTTGAATCTGCAAACTTTGTATGATTTCCTAAAGATTTTTGAATTCACATATATTTTATGTTTTTTATCAAACTTTTTTTTTTGAAAAAATAGAATGAGAAAGGAAAAGACAAAAAAGTAAAATGAGAAAAAACAGGGGAGTGAAGCCCCGCACATGGGCCGGCCCATGAACATGCGTGAGAAAAGAAATCAAATAATTGTGGAAGTTGGGGATCCAACCCTGGTCTTGCCGCTAGAAGAGCGCTCGACCAACCACTCTGCTGCTAGTCGTCGTGTGCCATCTACTCGTTGCGCTCCTATAAGACAACGAAAGAGGCGTTGATTTTTGTCCGAAAAATCGAATCGTTTTTTCACTCACGGGTGGCATTGGTGGGTAATTTTAACCAATTTGGAAGGTAATTTTAATGACAGACGATCAGAAGCGATAACCGCTTTATTAGTAGGTAAAGAGGTAAAGATAGGGCGTACAGAGGCTGGCGTCTAGAATAAGCATGCATGGCTTTTCTCCGTCGATTACATTTCTAACAAGGGTGCTCGTTCCAAGTAACTTTTGACTATGCTTCAAATTTGTGTCCGTCAGAGCAACTTTAATTAATGTATCACAAGGCACACTTTTGATCCACGAGAGAGCAACTTTTTGGCGCCCTTGGATCAACTTTGTTGCCTAACAACGCAATTCTTTGGTGTCCGTCGGCAAAATTTTCATGTCTAATGCCGCAATTCTTTAGTCCCGGCAGAGCAACTTTGATGCCTAACAACGCAATTGTGGTGCATGTTGGCGTAATTGTGGTAGAATAATGGGTTCGGCCTCTACCTTGACGAGAGAGACCACGTCAAAGGTTGGGGCTTTGACTTGGGCATGAATAGCATAGATGGCGTTGGTGAATGCTCTTGACTATATATGGATGTTGCTAGTACAAGTCTCCAAGTCGTGACAAAGATACTTAGGTGATCTGACAGAGAAAATTTGATGCCTGACAGAGCAAGTTAGGTTCGATAGAGCAACTTTGGTGCGCTACGGAGCAACTTTAGTGCCCTATAGTGCAATTTTTTTGGTGCCAAACGATCCAACATTGGTGCCGACAGATCAAGTATGGTGCCTGACAACGCACTTTCCATGCCCAACGGGGCAATTTGGTTGTGTCACAACAACTTTGGTGCGTGACAAAGCACCTTTGGTGTCAGATGGCGCACCTTTTGGTGCCCTATAGAGCAATTTTTTGGTGCCAAACGATGCAACATTGGTGCCGACAAAGCAATTTCGGTGCCCGACAACACACTATTGGCACCCGACACAACAACTTTGGAGCGTGACAAAACAACTTTGGTACCTGGCAGAGCAACTCTTTTATCCGACAGGGCAACTTTGGTGACTGACAGAGTGCCCAACAAAGTAACTTTTGTACCCCAACAGAAGTATTCAACTGCCCCACAGCACAACTTTTGTGCCTGGGATACAATTTTAGTGCTTGAGGGTGCAACTTTTGTACCCGACAGAGTAAATTTCGTGCCCAGAAGCGCAGTGTCAACAGAACAATTTTGTACCCGCTACAGCAGCTTAGGTTTTTGATAACAGTGTTTGTAAGTTGCCTGGCAGAGCAAATTTGAGCTCGTCCAAGCAACCGTGATGCGCACCAGAGAAACATTGTTGACCGACGACGTAATTCTTGTTCCCGACGAAGCAAGTTTTTGAGCCCAACAGATCAATTATGTTATCCGTCAAATCAATTTTGCCGCCCGGCCGCGTATTTCTAGTCAGAGCGAAGCGAGTTTTGGTGCCCACTAATTTAACTATGATTCATGGCATAGCAACAGGCTACGTTTCCATGCTCGATCGGAGCCTACGATGCATGCATGCACGGGCGGCACACGCACAGAAGAACGGGGCAGCATGACCCCTTGACCCCCGACCGATGGCACACACGCGTGCAGCTGTGAAACATCGCAGCGGGGCTATTGATGTAGGGGCACCCCCCATTGATGCGATGCAGCCTTTGGTTTCCCATGCGTGTGTACACACTCCCGATGCCACCAAACGTCGCCCGGTCATTACTTCCACCTGGTGAAACCATTAAAAAAATCGAAAAACATGTCGCACTAGGGCTATTTAAGCCATACCTATCATTTCCTCTCCCTCCTCATCCATACCCCAACCCCATCCTCTCATATCTGCCCCCATCTGCCCTCCTTCTTCCTTCTTGTCCACAAAGTAGAGGGTCCCGAAGCCACCATGCAGTACAACGGCCCGACCTACCGCTTCCCCCCCCCTCCCCCCATCGTGCCAGAGAGGCTCTATCCCGCCGGCGTCTATGTAGAGAACACCCTTAGGGTGTGGGCGATCTCAAGGTGGAGGGGCGCGTTTGACGTAGTTCTTCCTTTCGGCCGGCTACCGCCACCTCTCCCGTGGCTCTCCAAGTATGTTCCAGGTTGAGGAGGTCAATCACAATGGCGTTGTGGTTGCGCTCCTTGCTACATTAACCAACCCCTTCGACGCCTTCCACCTCCTCGGCTGAGTGTTTTGGTGTGGGTGTGAGTTTATTGCTTTCACCACCCACAACATCTTCACCGACTTCAACAACATCTTCCCCACCTACAACGGCATGCACACCCTCCCGTACCCCGTCGACAACCAAGAGTGATGGGCGCCCGGAGGAGCGAGGTGGCGTTCGCCAAGAGGAGGAGAAGGAGATGAACCAGTTTGGTGCCCCCAATCTATATAGCTATCTATCTATCATTTTGTATTTTAAGTTGTAATCGTTCATGTTTGTGTGCTACTATTATTAAGTTGTAAGGCTATGTTATCTATGTCGTGGAACTATCGATTGTGCTACTATTTATATTGTTGTTGGGTTCCTTTTTTTTATATTTTTGTTTCGTGCTATTATTTGTGGGTTGCTATGGGTTGTACCCGTTTCATGCTATTATTTGTGTGTTGCCTTGTGTTGCTTCACCCCA